ACTCATCCCTTCTCTGTGTACTGTTTTGTAGTTGTTTATTATCAGTCTCTTTCAAATTAAACACATTATTGATATCTGTGTTTATTTGTTCACCATTATCATCACTTCTCTGTGTTGTGTTTTGTAATTGTTTATTATCCTGTTTCCATTTAGTTGCTTCAACCTCCTCATCTCCATGGCCATCATGTATCTCTCTAGACAAAACATGATTTTCTGAGTTTTGTAGTTCATTATAATTATCCTGTTTCTTTGTTGTCAGTTCCTTAGCATCCTCTCCCTGGTCATCCCATATCTCTGTAGACAAAACATTCTTTTCTGGGTTTTGTAATTCTTCATAATTATCCTGCTTCTGTGTAGATGATTCATTCCTATTTTCTTCATAACTATCTTGTGTCTTTGTGGATAAATCATGGCTTTCTGTGTTCTGCAATTTATCATCATTATCCTGCTTCTGTGTAGTTGATTCATCCTCATCTTTTACCTTTATGGTTAAATCAGTCTTTTCTGTGTTTTGCAAATCAACATTATTATCCTGCTTCTCTGTGGTAGGTTCATTATCACACTTTCCAAGATCACCCTGAATCTCTGTGGATAAATCATTGTTTTCTATCTTTTGTAATTCATCAGCGTTATCCTTACAATGAGAATGAATCAACTACACAGAAGCAGGATAATAATGTTGATTTGCAAAACACAGAAAACAATGAGGTAAAATGTGAGAATGAATCAACTACACAGAAGCAGGATAATGATGATAAATTGCAGAATATGGAAAGCAATGATTTATCCACAAAGACACAAGATGATTATGAAGAAAATGGGAATGAATCATCTATTCAGAAGGTTTCCGTGTTCTGCAATTTATCATCATTATCCTGCTTCTGTGTAGTTGATTAACAACAGAGCAAAAAGGTTATCATGATGAACATGAGAAAGACTCATTTACACAAAAGGAGGATAATGATGATAAGTTGCAAAACACAGAAAGAAATGATTTATCCACAAAGACACAAGATGATTATGAAGAAGATAAGAATGAATCATCTACACAGAAGCAGGATAATGCTGATGAATTACAAAAGATAGAAAACAATGATTTATTCACAGAGATTCAATATGATCATGGAAAGTATGATAATGAACCTACTAAAGGGAAGCAGGGTAGTACTGCTAATCTGCAAAACACTGAAAAGAATGATTTAACCATAGAGGTAAAAGATGAGAATGAAGTCACTGTTTTCTGTGTTTTGCAATTCAGCATCATTATCCTGCTTCCGTGTGGATGGTTCATTACTATCCTCTCCATGGTCTTCTTGTATTTCTGAGTCTTTTTGCTCTGTTGTTAAGTCACTGTTTTCTGTGTTTTGCAATTCAGCATCATTATCCTGCTTCTGTGTGGATGGTTCATTACTATCCTCTCCGTGGTCTTCTTGTATTTCTGAGTCTTGTGATCTGCTATAAATATCCTGCTTCTGCCCTGTCAGTTCATTGTTATCTACTTCATGACCATCTTGTATCTTTTTAGATATATCACTGTTTTCTCTATTTTGCAATACTGTATTGTTACCCTCCTTTTGTGTGGTTGGTTCATTACCATCCTCTTCATGGTCATCCTGCATCTCTGTAGAAGAAACATTCTTTTCTGTGTCTTGTAATTCATTACTATTATCCTGCTTCTGTGTTGTTGGTTCATTAACATCCTCTCCATGGTCATCTTGAATCTCTGTGGATAAACCATTGTTTTCTATCATTTGCAATTCATAATCATTATCCTGCTTCTGTTTAGAAGATTTATTCCTGTCTTCTTCATAATTATTTTGTGTCTTTGTGGATAAATCATTGCTCTCTGCGTCCTCCAATTTATCATCATTATCTTGCATCTGTGTATTTGATTGATTCTCATCTTTTACATCTATGGTTAAACCATTGTTTTTTGTGTTTTGCAATTCAGCATCATATCCCTCTTTCTGTGCAGTGGGTTCATTATCATCCTCTCCATAGTCATCCTGTATTTCTGTGGATAAATCACTGTTTTCTCTGTTTTGCAGTTCAGCATCATTACCCTCCTTCTGTGTAGTCAGTTCATTATCAACCTCTCCATGGTCATCTTGAATCCCTGTGGATAAATCATTGCTTTCTATGTTTTGAAATTTAGCATCATTACACTGCTTAAGTATAGGTGATTCATTCCCATCTTCTTCAAGATCATCTTTTCCTGCTATGGTTAAACCATTGTTTTCTGTGTTTTGCAACTCAGCACCATTATCCTGCTTCTGTGTGGTTGGTTCATTACCAATCTCTCCTTGGTCATCTTGTATCTCTGTAGACAAAACATTCTTTTCTGTTTTTTGTAATTCATCATCATTTTCCTGCTTCTCTGTAGTAGGTTCATTCTCATCCGGTATCTCTATAGCCAAAGGAAAGGGACTGTTCTCTGCGATTTTTAATTCTTTACAATTATTCAGCTTCTTTGTAGTTAATTCACTGCTATCTTCTTCATGATTATTCTTTAACTCTGTGGACAAAAAAATATTTTCTGTGTTTTGTAATTCATCACAATTATGTTGCTTGTGTGCAGTTGGCTCATTCTCACTTTCTTCATGATCATTCTGTATCTCTCGAGACAAATCATTGTATTTTGTGTTTTCTAATTCATCGTAATGATCTTGCTTCTGTGTAGTTGATTCATTCTTATTCTGTCCATTGTCATCGTGAATATCTATAGATATGTCATTCTTTTTTGAATTTTGTTGATCTTCAGAATTATCGAGTTTCTGTGTAGTTGATTTATTCTTATCTTGTACATAATCATTCTCAATTTCAGTATAAGTGTCTTCTGTATTTTGTAGTTTTCCGAAATTCTCTTGCCTCTCTGTAGACGCATCATTCCTGTCCTGCTGACGGCCATTCTGTATGTCTGTAGACAAATCATTCCTGTCCTGCTGACGGCCATTCTGTATGTCTGTAGACGAATTATTCCTGTCCCGCTGATGATCATTCTGTATGTCTGTAGACGAATCATTCCTGTCCTGCTGATGATCATTCTGTATGACTATAGACGAATCATTCCTGTCCTGCTGACGACCATTCTGTATGTCTGTAGACGAATCATTCCTGTCCCACTGATGATCATTCTGTATGACTGTAGACGAATTATTCCTGTCCTGCTGATGATCATTCTGTATGTCTGTAGACGAATCATTCCTGTCCCGCTGATGATCATTCTGTATCTCTGTAGATGAATCATTCCTGTCCTGCTGATGATTATTCTGTATCTCTGTAGACGAATCATTCCTGTCCTGCTGATGATCATTCTGTATGT